TTAAACGACTATTCCTAGTGTTGCAGCATTTGCTGTAGAAAATGTAAACTAATGGACCTATATGTTTGATATCCATTTGTTTCGCTCAATAGGTTTTCTATAAAACTATCTAGATCCCAGTTATTTGAAAATGAAAATTTGAAACAAAGCCATCTTATCATAATTAATGCAGACTCAATTCATTGGCTTTACAGGTATATTGGAAATGTTTTGCTCACATATTGTGTTTTCTCTCAGCAATCCTTGTGAAAAAACTATTTCTTATTCTTATTGCTCTGAATACACTCAAGGCTCAAGTTTGCAACATTGGTAAAAACAGCCTAGAGCACAATGTCAATTTCATTCTGATAGTATCATGTCAGGCAGATACATTTCTGTTTTCCAGACTCTGCAGTAGTTACTCTATGAAATCAGATATGAATTTGGTTTTTCACAAGAACTTTGACATGTACCATTAGGGAAGACTAATTGCTCACCCCTCCTACAATTTCAGTGCATGGTGCTTTTTATTCACTTATATGAGTTGTCAAGACATTTTGTGACAAAAGTCCTTTTCCACCAAATAGTTTGTTTTAAAAATGCTTGTTTTGATATTATTGAATTTCACACATTCACAGTTCAATATTTTTCTTAGTATAATTAGAAACTGATCTTTCAGATATACTAACAAACATACTGAGCTTTGAGTCTGTAAAAAAATGTAAAAAAAAACATTTAGAAAAACTATAACCTTTCTGTGGTGCAATTTAAATAGTAAGGCATTGCTCCAAGCTCTCCATTTTATTTCTGTGGTACATCATATGCAGCAAAATGTTTTTTTTTTAATGTAAGTTGTCTTTATTTATAGATAGACATTCTGAAAGACATTAATTGTAGTTTATTTGTCGTGGGGAGTGGGCTAGGGCAGAGGACACAGGGGCTTATTATAATGGGCTTTGAGCTCAGATCGGTACCCTGCTATTGACAGTATCTTCATGTTGTGACTGGATTGTCTTTGTTTTTTAATATTTTGTATTGTCTTTGTTTGACATTCAGAACCTGGCTGAGGCAGAGTATGCAGTAGCTCTGTTTATGTACATGCGGTTGTTGGGATACCCAGCTGAGAAAATCAGCATTCTGACCACCTACAATGGGCAGAAACACCTCATCCGGGATGTGGTCAACCAGCGATGTGGAAACAATCCATTCATTGGACATCCAAGTAAAGTAAGAGTCATCAGTTTCTAGCATCAGTATAAAACTGTAACTGCATGGAAAGACATTACACACTTCTTGCTTTTTTATTTAAATGTAGTTTATGTGACCTGTACAATACACTTGAATTGATCTAGGGCCTTGAGATGTCTTTTGAACATTTCCACATCAAACCACCATAGTTAGACTGTGTACTTCTATACTTATTTTCAGAGATTTAAGAAATTGGTAGAGATTTGTTAGGGTTGTTTTGTATTAGTTTGTAACACAAAACTGTGAGTACGGTGCTGCCTTCTATGCCATTGAGAGAACTGCTATACCATTCAGTAACCAACTTCTGAGATAAATTGATTACTCAATTAACTACTATGGCAGTTCTTTCAGTGACACCGAAGGCTGCACTGTATTCACTGTTCTGTGTTACAAACTAAACAGAAGATGTGTTTGCAAAATATGTTAAGGAACTGATTGTGGAAATCTTTCCTTTTGAATTAAGGTAACAGGCGTTTAGCTGGTATAGTCAGGGTACCCAGTGATAAGTGCAATAATAAACATGTCGTGTTTCTGACATTAAATCATAACTACAGCCCACTCACCTGCATGTGCATCTTGCTTATCCTGGTCTTAATGGTGGTCTTATAATTGGTTGAAGATTCATCCGTCTACATAATGGAAACTGGGTTTATAATTTGTGACTGGGGGATGGGTCAGTGTTTTATCCAGTGCCCCTTTAGGTGTCAATGTGGAATAGTTATTGTTTTAAATGCTTAAGGTACCACTTCTAAGAATCAGGGTTTATCACATGCTACTGAGAGATGAAGTAGCAGAAACTTTAATTCCCGTTTTAATATGAAACATTTCTTTGCTAATTATGCACTTGTGATATCTGATCTGGTGGAAGTTACTCAAATCTAGATTTTCTCCCCGTGATTTGATTAAGCTTGTTTTTAATCTGTAGGGTGTTCAGTAAATCAACACTTCCAGTATAGTAGTTCTGCTTTGTATACTCAGTGCAACAAGTCATGTCTGTTATCTGGATTTTCAGACATTTGTCCAGAAGAATATAACACAGCAAATTGATTGTTGCCTTTATGAATCTTCAGTAGGTTTTATGAAGGATGTTATTATCTTTTAGATGTGTTGGTGACCTCTTCTAGGTGACAGCTTGTTACATTCTGCAAAGAAAGCTACTTGCAAACTGCTGAGCTTGAGAAAGGTCAGACTCACAAGCAATTGGGATATATCATTTGACAGTTTGTCAAAACTACTAAAACAAAAAAAACATTTCATAGCATTGATATATAATAAGTCATTTTAACAACAACAAAACTTATGTAAATCTTTGAATTCATTCTGTTATTTTGTTCTAAAAGAGATTATTCAGTATGCACTACTTTAGGTCAATGAAAATAGGTATGCTTAAATGGTAAATTAAGAAACATTGACCATTTATGAAGCTTTTTTAAATGCAACTGTTGTGCCAAACAAAGATTTTAATAATTTCAGAACTTAAGCTAAAATAATAACCATGGTTTTGTCTCTCATTAAATTAAGTACTGGACATTGATAAAATCCTAAATGGAGATGAATCCATCCTATTTTCTCCATTCAGTGAGGCTAGGAACATAATTGGATGTTAAGATAGAAAGCAGCCTCTCTCCCCTTCCTCCTTCAGCTATGTGCTGAAAGCATGGTGTATTTTAAGACTATGCTCTTTTTCACAGATTTTTAGTGCAGTGATGTTTTGGGGATTTTTAAAGAGAACAGTTGAGCCAGCAAGTGTATTATAAAATGTATCAGCTTCTCTAGACACATGGTCACCGTCTACAAATGTAATATAAAAAAGAAATGTTCAGTGAAAACCCCAAGAAATGAATAAACCCGACGCAATGTACAGTCGTCTGTTGACAGGACTGCCTGTGGTGTAGCCTTGGATGAGCAGGATCTTCACTGCACATTGAAAAATGGGACAATTAAGAATTCTGACTTGCTCGGTACCTAAGGCGTATGCAGATTATAAATTAAGCAAGGAAACAGACACAGTGGTTACACATGCTGAGATCCTCCAATAAATATTTAAAATTGATGACCATCTGCTGCAACATGACTTCTTCACTGAGTAACGCAGCACAATTGTCAGTTTTTTGGAGGATAAAAAAACACTTTGGAGTTTGTGTGTGGATTTTTTTAACCTTTCAGTTTGAATTAGGTGTGCTACCAAAGGTTAAGGTTGTGCATCTTTTCTGTAAATCTCCATGGATATTACAGCTATTAATTCGTATAGGTTCTAATGTTGAAAATGTTGTTTATTTTAAACACTTCATTATTGTCATGTTAAGAAGTGCAAATTGCATAGTTGTAATAAAATTATATATATTGAATATCAAGTTAATACCATGTGTAGCTGAATTAAAATGTCGTGTAAATTACTTTCTATTTAACACTCTTCATTAAAGCATCTGATAATGTTGAATAAAAGATTCACTTATGCATTGCTCAAAATGTACATAAATTGAGAATACATATTTTGTATGTCTTGGGAGTTCATCACCACTCTACATTTGGGAGGCTAAACATGATTTCTATCTAGCATAAAATGCGGTGTCTGATTAAACATTTATCTCAAAGCTGTTAAATACTAAATTATCGGAATACTAATTCTGTTAATTTATTGTCCATCATCAAAAAATGAACTTGGGTTATATCGAGAAACTTTACTGTGCATGTAAATAAAATAGAGTGTCTTTTTTAAAAATCCTAGGCAACACATTAAAAATGTGAAGTGTAACTCAGGCAATGTGTAACTTCAGTTTAATTAGACAGCTAAATGTTGATAAAGGGTACGTTCCAATAAAATTTCAGCACTGCACATTCCTGCTCAATGTTCTGCTTCTCTGGCTATGACCATTGCTGTGATGAATGTTGTAGAGGATTACACAGCTAGTGAAAATGTGTCAACTCATTCCACTGCAGTAGAATGTGTTCGGCTAAGGACAACTAATACAAATGAAAAATTAGAATGAACATTTTCATTTTAGATTGAAAATTGGTATTGTTATTAATCATTTTTTACAAAATATTGGACGTGAATGTCACACCATATTCCCCCCCCCCCCCCCCCCATTCAAAGTTTGCCACAGGCTTTGCCCCCAGAGCTGTCGGCAAACAGCTGAGATTAAATGAATCCAAGACTGTTGCCATTTGAATGTTCCCCTGTGGTAATAACCGGATGTTTTAAGGGCACTTCCTATGGAAACGAAATCATAACTGTTCAGAGTACCCATGCACACTGGGGAAAGAAGGCCTGTGGAGAAGAACATATTGTTGCTTCTGGTACTGCACCTGTTGTGTGCTTCAACTGGATAGTAGTGTTTCAGATATCTGTCTGCAAATTATTTATTTGACATACAAAGATCTTCAAATGTGTGTAACTGGCAGTGAATATTATACTAGCCACAGGATCTACATATGTTGTATACTTCTCCAGTGGTCATTTGTGGAAGATCCATTGAAGGTGTGCTATATATTTAATTAAAAAGGATGATTCACTGGTCCTCTAGCCAGACTTTATGACCATAGAGTTTGGAACAATCGTTTCCAATTAGGATTGAGTTCTGTGAAACATATAATTGTTTAATTATATGAAAATTGTGGTAAAATAACTTGGGTTATCAGGACCCAAGAAGTGGGCATTGTAACATAGATACACTTCATTTGTAGCAGTGTTGGTATCGTACTAAAAACCAAAAAGCTTATCAAGCAATTTGTTTTAGTATGCTAATAAATCAGCATCTCCATCATTTCTTGGCCATTTTCTTAAATAATCCAGAACTCTCTTGTAAAGTACCTTGTATTTCAAGTAAATACTGATTTGCACAGCAAATTTCTTATGTGCAAGATCTCCTTGAGCATTAAGATAAAATCTAAGAGTAGTATTACAAAAATTAAGGTATGCATTATTCTTAAATATGCATTAATTGTCTGTATTTGTGAGATTTAGGTGATAAGCTGGCAAGACACTAACATCAAAGTAAGAAGACCTGTCTGAGATGATGTGATTTCTCGTGAAAAGTGCAGTGGTTTTATTCTGAGTTCTGTAAATGACTTATTAACTTGTGACAAAGCTCAAGAGATCTGCCTTCATTGTGAAATCGGTGAAAGAAAAACCAGGCAAATAGCCTATGATATATCCTGGATTTATCCCTGCTAGCAAATGTGGTTTGCAGTGATAAGTAATTATAAGTGAATTTGCTGGCCAAGGAGGTGAAGAGAGTACTATCTTAAACATTTTAAATAAAGCTTTTCAAAACACTAGCAATGCACTTTGGGTTTTAGCAATGCTAAATTATTTATTCTGCTTGTAGGTGACAACAGTTGACAGATTCCAGGGTCAGCAGAATGATTACATCATCCTCTCACTGGTCCGAACCAAAGCTGTGGGACATCTTAGGTAAGCGTGTTTTTTGAAGAATCCTTTTAACAGACAGGGTATTCAGAAACCCTTTTATAATATCCATAAAAGGATGAAAATTCTTTTACATAACTAAAAAGATTAATCGGTGACTGACAGCAGCATTTCTTAAAAAACAGAACACAAGGTTTTATTGTCCTAATCAGTGTATTAAAGCATCTGTATAGCTGATGTTGGGGGAAAAATCTTGTGGAGCCAGCAAATATTTGATATTTGTCGAGAACGATATTAAATCATGAGCTCCTGATTAAAGAAAACTGCACAGTGGGTTATTGAATGACTTTAGAATTCTGTTCTGTGCATTTACTTTTAACATTACATTCTCAAATGCAGTCTTTGTGCTTTTGATTGCTAAATTGTCTTGTGGTTTTATAGCAAATCATTTTTTTAAAACAATCTTTGCATTTATCGTTTTAAAAAATGAACTGCTGGTGAATTAATAACTAATAGCATTAATTAATATAATGACATTTAACAACTCTCTTTGCTGCTAAACAAAATCAGAAAATGCACTAGAGCTGTAACTTGAACACAGAGAAATAAGATGTGAACAAGAGCTTCATTATGGGAACCTCCTACTTTATTGGCAATAGCAGTTGTTTCCAGTCCAGAGGTCATTTATGTGATGAGGCATCATACTGACTTCACATTTCTCTGTCAGCATTAGGGCATTTAGCTGCTTTTCTTATCTGGGAGGAATTCTGCTAGTCCTGCTTCAAACACCACACACACACACAGACACACACGCGTGCACCCCTGTACGTTACATCACATTATGCTTCTTTTAATCACTCAGTCACAGTTCGGTCACCACTGTTGTGGCAGCCACAGGAGCCATGCATGACTGGGCAATGTGACGACGCTAGCTTTGGCGGGCACATGGGAAAAGGGAACCACAATCCTCCTCCGCTCTCATTTTTAGAGGAAGGCCCTGTCTGCCAGCCTTGCGGCATTCTCCTTCACTGTCCCTGTAATTGCACACTCTTCCGCCGGCCTCTCTGGTTCTTGGCATCACCTGCTCACTGGAGTGACCCACCCCCACATCGTGTGTCTCAAGGTGCTGAAGAGTGAAGTGTTAGTTTTCAGGAAGTTGTTCCATGTCTTTGCTACTACGATTTTGCCAGTTTATCTTCCCCCCTGCAGCACTGTACAGCTAACAAGCTACTTTACTTTACACTTGTATGTAGAATGAGAGAAAGGCAGCCATATATAATATATTTATGGACATGTTGAACTGCACTTTTTAATTTATTTGAATTTGATCCTGTTTAATCTGGCTTTACTGTTTGTTGGTTATTGTGTTGTTTTCTTTAAGCTACCTAAATTTGACTGGAGTTTCTCCCTGACATTTTGATCACTAAGGCGACCAATGAGATGTCTGTTCACTTTTAGGGGAGCTAATATTTTTGTGACGTTGTTTGAAAAAAAAGTTATTTCTTAAGGCTCAAACTGAATCTCTTCTAAGAAAAAATTCCAGAAGATGGCATATCTTTGGGCCACTACACTGTGTGAAATAACAAAGATGCAGGCACATGTTTTTCCTGCTGTGTACATGCTTCTACAATCGAGGGCTTTTTTGAAAACAAGGATAACACACTAAATCACTTCTGTAAGCAGCTGTATTTAAGTGTGTACTGTATGTTGACAGATAAAATGTGTAGCATGTTAATCCATTTAAGTTATAAAAGTGGTTTCCTTAGAAATCTTCCATCAAAATGCAAATGTAGATGTATCTCAAATAAGAAAAATTGCGACAGTTCTCAAAACTACTTAAAACAACACATGGAAGTCGCCTCACTGAGCATGCTATTATGTATATTTTTTTCTTGTGCCAAAAGCAAAAAAACATTTATAAAATAAGGAAAGAAAAATAGTGACAAAGCATTAGTAGCATCTTTCTTCAAACAGCTCTGCTGTTAACAGCCATTCCAGACATTGGTGAGTGGTGTGTAATTCAGATGCTCTGTATATTCTCTCATATTGACATTGCTTTCTCTTCAGTGAGCAGCATCTAGGAAATCAGTGAGAGAATTTTCTTCATACGCTCAATTAAACCCTAGCACCTGAGCATCTCCTGCATTATTCAAATGTTTGCTGATTTCATGTCCAGACAGTGACTCTAGGTCTGATTGCTATAAAAGCCAGTGCAGTGTGCCACCTTTTGCTTTATAGCTTTGTTTTAACTTTGTATTAGATAAACCTCTTTTGGCTTACAACTGAAGGTACATTGAAACAATATTCATTGCACCTAATATGAAAGTCAGTGTCATCAGAAACCGCCGGTGTCCATCAGAAAAACAAAACAGCTGCCAGTTTCTGGCTCTGGGGAAAAGGGGTCAAGGTTATAATTTCCCCACCAGATTGTCGTTTACCAACACTGTCAAGTAATCTGGTGTGAAACAAAACAAAGGGTCAAAAATAGCATCCATCCTATAATGAGAGTTCTAATCGCAAGGGTATGTGGGTTAATCAAAGCGCAAACGTGCAATCCATGGGTTCTCCGTTAGCGGAAGTGATTTCTGTTTCTTACGTCGAATGAAAATTTCTCTGCATTACAAATGCAAGCACAGAACCACTCACTTTGTAAATGTATATACAGACATGCCTCACATATACATAGCTGTTGATCCTCACATTTTTGCACTGAAATAATTTACATGTTTTCCCCTTATCAAAATCTGCACTAACACTAAATAAAATAAAAGGGGCGTTTGTATTGTTTGCCACAATATCATATGAAGATCAGATTAATACAAGCAGATCCTGTTGATGTGACACATATCCTCATACAAAACAAACCTACATAGTTATTCTAACTGCATGTATAAAATAGATGTCTATAGAAATTGCAAGTCTTTTCATGAAACAAGACTTAGTTGCCCAGGCATAAGGTAATCCAAATCACCAGGTATCAAAAATATTTTTTGATATATATATATTTTTTATTTAATATACAGCAGCCATAAAATATATTATAGGTATATCTGTAATTATAACGATGTCTGTCTGGTTAAGCTTGTATTGAAGTAAAACAATGCATCCTTAAAACTACTGTGCCTTCACAGCTATTTTCCTCCTTTCATTCTGTGTTTTTGCATCTTTTGCATATTTTCCCTGCAGACTATACAACTTACACCAATTACTGTTGCTCGTGTCAGCTTTACGGTTGCTCCATATTCCATATCCAGTCTTTGCATGTTGATTATCTACCACCATTACACATAACCATAATCGTAATTGTTGTTTGCGTATTGTTTCTTTTAAAATGTGTTGTTGTTGTTGTTGTTGTTTATTGGTATTTGCGTTCTTAATCCAGGAAGGTTAAAGCACATTGCAAACAACCGTTGTTCATTCTAAAAAATGAATGATGCTAACATGCACAAATAATGCGCATCAAAAGAATCCAATCACTTATGTCTGCAACAAATTCGGAGTTACAGTATCAGGAAAATACTGCTTTTGTCAGGTGTCTGCCCTGACATTTTATTGAAATGACACAACAGGCTACTTCCTTATGCTGATTAACATTTGTTGTAAACACAGTTGATCAACAGGGACTCGACTGTGAAAATCACAGGCTAGTAGTGTGTGCAGCCACCGTTGGAAGCAGTACAAGCTGTGCATCTGCAGTGCATGCTTTGCAACGGGTTGTGCATGCTGTCTTGTAGGCTTCTGTCCAATTCCTTTGGTAGACCATGGACAAGCATGTAGTTGTTCACTGTTCTCTTTGCAATAGGTGTAATCCCAGCTCATCCCAAACATGTTCAGTGGGGCTCACATCTGGTGCATAAAATGACCACAGTATAGCCATCACATTCTCATCCTTTGAAAAATTTTGTTATACAATCAGTGTGAGGTTCTGCTGTAATACTAAGTTGGGACATTCACCTAGAAAAGGCATAAAGTTAAAACTTAGCGAGGTGTCATGACTCCCGGTCTTCTAGAGTGATAGCCTATGTTTGGCTGGAATGTTTTGCAGTTTAGACATTTCAGGCTTGGTCTGCCCCCCAACATGCAACTGGAACAAGCTCTGTTTAACTTGATAAGTGGGCCATGTTAGTTCCTTTCTCATTTTCTTGATTTTCACCAGGGTTGACATTCTGCAGGTTAAGTCACCTCATCACTTTTGCTCAATCCACTGTCTTACCGTTGAGCTGATTAAGTGCTTAAGACACAGTCAGAATCACTCAAGTGTATCACGGTCAGTCACAAATAATCAGTGAAGCAAAATTACATCAAAAACATTAATCAATATTCAAAATCTTTTTGTTTTATTTTTCCCCAACATGGAAAACACATACATAAATATTCTCATAGGTTTCTTTTCATGCAATGTTATATTTTGTATTTGCTCTTAGGTTGGAATTCATTTGAAAGCAAGCTAAGAACATTCAAAAGTCATACAAAGGGATGCTGCAGATATGTCTTGTACAAAAAGCTGTCTCCCTGTTTTTCTTTAAAATTATGCTGCTCTGTATGTTAGTAGGAGTAAGAACTGAATTTAGAGATGTACTTAATCAGTCTAAAATAACCAAGCATTTTTATACTTTTTTCAATCAATACTAGGTACTGTTTATTGTATTAGTCAATACAGCTATGCAGTAAATTCATTTTTAAATATAGCTCTGATTTATATATTAAAGAGATTTGCTTAATTAAATGTTGAAAAATTAAATTAAATTCATAAGACCATGCATAGCCACAGAAAATGAAAGACACTTGAAAAATGGGGGGAAGGTTATAGTTCAGGGTAAAATTAGAATCCATTTCAATTTCGACTCTACTCTCTTATCAGTCTTTTCAAATGCAATGGATTGCCTCTTTCAATAACATGGTTGCCTCAGGGATGAAAAATGTAGCCTTTTAAAATCCTTTATTAGAGGAGATTTATTATTGGAGAATGTAGAGTATTCCTGACTGGAAAAATCTCAAAGTTAATCCTTAAATTCTGAACGTCCAAAAATGAAGGTACCGTTTAATTTTTTTTTCTGTCTTACCTTCTCCGTTTCCTAGAGACGTACGGCGATTGGTGGTGGCCATGTCCAGAGCCAGACTGGGCTTGTACATCTTTGCGCGTGTATCCTTGTTCCAGAACTGCTTTGAGCTGACTCCTGCCTTTAACCAGCTTACAGCACGGCCTCTCCAGCTGCACATAGTGCCCGATGAGTACTACCCCACCAGCAGATTGGTAAGATGCACAGAGGGGAAGGGACTGTATTGCTTTTTGTAGAGTTGTATGCCAGTTTCTTTCACATACACATGCATAAGAGTATGTCTTAAACACTATTCAAATACAGCCACTGGGAATTATTGAGAAGAAATATTAATTGGTTCTTGCCATTTCACCATGCAGAGGAGGGAAGAGCCATCTGAAGAGAATTCTGATTCCACCCTATAAGTATTCAAAGTTGAAGGCAGCAGCCAGGCACTGCTGTTTAACCAATATTATAGCTTGTCAGCATAGCATAGTTAACTTTGACGACTGGAGCTCACATGTATATGTACTTGGCACAGAATGTATTACAGGTTGAAAGCCCTTAGTGTTGTAATTGTTGTGAAACTTAAGAGAGCTAATTAATACCCTTTCTCATTACTTATATACACTTGTTCAGAGGAGGTTGAGATTTGGTGTGCAGAGTAAAAAAAGAAAAGGTCATATTGTACACAATATTAAAAAAGATCTCAAAATCATTTGTTTCTGTATATTCCAGTCAAAAATCCTTCTTCAGCTGTTTAGAAAGAAATAATGCTATTGGCACTGGACTTACAGTTCTTTCTGAACAGCTGAAGAAGGTTTTTCGTCTGAAATGCTCTGAAACAAATTATTTTGTGATCTTTTTATTATTGGCTACAGTATAACTTTTTCTTTATTTTGTACAGTACAGTTCAAATTTCTCTAAAGAAAGATAGAAGTAATTTGTGTTTATATAAGCATATTCCAATGTACGTCCCCGCTGTGCATAGAGCTAGGATTAAGCCCAAGAGATGGGTGGTGTTGACTCAATTAGCTTAAAGGCACTATTACTGTCGTATTTCTATCACATAGAGGACTTAATGGAGTATGAAGCTGCGGAGAAAGAAAAGGTATCTGCTGTGTTGTGTTGCCAATTGCTATGTTTCATACTAAAGTTAACATCAATGATTTTTTTTTTATTTCCAAAATATATTTAAAATAATACTGTAACATACATCTAACATCTAAAGTTCTAATAGGTAATATTTTACTAGAAAATGTTGAACATGGTGAACACCAGCTCACTAGAGTTCATGTAAATGTAAATATTTCCTAAAAATTGTAACTCACTTAAATCTAATAATAAATATTTAAGGAGTATTTCTTGTTTAAAAAAAATGTTAGGCTAAGGCTTCTTTTAGTGAATTTTCAACAGAAACAAAAAATCTAAGTAAAAAGGTGACAAGATGTAGAATATAATCAGCAATTGTACAAAAGAAGCATACAAAGCTTATAATTTAATGGTAAATTAACAGTACTTATATACATATTGTATTATGTATGTACAGTTAATATGTGAACAGATACATACACACTTATACAGTATGTTTGTGGTTAGCTCAGAATTTAGTTAGGAATCCTTTAGTTCTCTGAGCAGTTCTGTGCATGTGAAGTTATTTCCAGAGGGATTTTTTTCCAGCTCACTGGAATATGAGACATTAAAATGATGCCATTTTTACTACAGGATAGTGTCTGCCACAGATTATGCTAGCAACCCTGTGAAAAGCACACCTCCAGAAGCAGGGGGATATTCCATTACTCCTAAACGCCTTATGACATTGTGAACCCTACGGACTGCAATGATTTCAGGCAGTTTGCTTCACTGTTTCTGAAGCATTAACTCAGCTCACTGAATTTCTTGTCCATTATCTCATTCTGGAAAAACCTCTCCCCAGTATAGGGGAATCGCAGACATAAAAGTGGCATTACTTAGAAGCCTGTATCGCAAAAGCAGATCTTTTTTTTTTTTTCAGTTATTAAAGACGAACCTGTACTTCTCTTTTGCAGAATGGGAGCCGACCTGTCCATCCTGTGCAGGTTATCAAAAACATGCCTGAGATGGCCAATTTTGTGTATAATATGTACATGCACATGATCCAGCACACTCATCAGTACCAACAGGTAAAAAGAAATACACCTCTTCAGAACCTTTCCATGATCTTTAATTAATTGTTACTCTTATAAAATGTAGATAAAAGTGCATTTTTATCTTTAAACTCTGATGCTTTGCTGAAAATAGGTCAGTTGTAAAAGAATTGTTTTTGTTATGCTTGTGAAAACTTAACCGGCCGTGAACTTAACATTTTAGATTAGGAGTAAATTACTCAACTAATTTAGGCAGCTTTTCTGCCTTTGAAGCTGGAAGTCCGCAGTATAGAGGTGGGGGTTGGGGAGATTGCATGTTGCCTCGTGCAAAAGCTGAAATGTCAACAGAGCAGCTACTCCTGTTGGCACAACCCACTCCGTGCCACTGTCAGGAATGTGCTGTCCTTGTTTCTCCTGCAAATAAAAGCTATTGAGCGCAGAGAATAATATTATAATGTTCAAGTATGAAAAGGAAAATTAAAAGGCTGGGGTGTTTCATTCATGCGGTGTTGCTGTGAATTGTATTGAAGCGGGCGGATAAAGACCTACTTGTCGTGCAGGAGGGAGGGAAGGTGTTTTATATATATATATGCGCTTATCTGCAGAACCAGCAGCAGCTATTGCCTCCCCCGCGCCAAATGGAAGAAGAGGCAGCCGCTGAGGCCCCCTCTGAGGCTCAGGAAGAGGAGACGGAGATGGCCCAGGAGCCCAGGGCAGGAGAAGAACCTGAGGAGAAGCCGGAGGAGGTTGAGACGAAAGAGGAGGAGGAGCACAACAAAATGCCGGAGCATCCCGGCAGAGATAGTGACAGTGAGGACAGCGGAGCGGAAGAGGCCCCGTAGAGCCTATCCTTCCTCTGTTCCTCAGTTTGTGACCCCGCAGAAGAGCGGTCAACAGGACAAATAAACCTGCTGTTATATCTGCCAGTGACTGGACAGAGTCGGTCTCACTGTGAGAACCACAAGACTTGTCACAGCTGAATTTTGTTCATATTTCCATGCAGCCCTGGTGACAGAAAAGCCACAAGCTGGTTGTCTCAGTTGTTTAATTAATTTTAATGAACAGTTTAATTTTTTCATCTCTGTTTGCTTTTTTAAGTAAAAGGTGTAAAGATTGTTTAAATATTTTTCCGTTTTGTCATTTTTATTTTCATATTAATGAAAATTAATATGAAATTATTAGTATTCTTAATAATATTAATATTATTTTCATATTAAACCATTCGCATTTGGTTTAAGAAAAAACAATTCTGATGTTTTCTAATCTAGATACAAAGTAGCTTCAGAGTATTAATGCGAGAGTTTGACAAGGCCACTAATAAACCAAGTCCTAAACAAGTGACATCTCATCAAGTGACATTAATCTCCCTCGGTGATTAAGGATAGCAGTTTTGACTGTTCCATGCTTATCGTGCATTAATGCAAGTACTTTAAAGATACTCCCAACTGTCAGAGATGCGTAAAGATTACTCTCACCATCATTAGTCAATATCCTTTCTTCACAGGATATTCATCTTTGAATGCTGTGAAAGGTTACATCCAATCAACATATAACTCACCAGTTTCTGGGCTAAATCCATTTATAAATATGTTTCCTGTGAAATGCTGTTACTGAGTTTCAGCTTTAAACTGTCAATCCTGTAGACCAGTCAAGCAACTTCAGTCTGCACTACACCATGAAGGACTGTACACAAAAACATTTTCACGTCATCTATGTTGTCAGATTAAACCTTGTTAACTGGCTGACTGAGAAACCAGAGGGTACCCAGTTAAACTGGTGTTTCCCAAGTGTATTATAGTGCACTATGAAAAGAATATAGCTGTTATACCCAGTTTTGCTTTAGCTGTAGGTAAAGACTGGTACAGTATATCCCTGTAAAGCATTACTGTCCCATTTAATTCTGAATTGAAGATTACCCTTTTGTCACCCTTTTGGTTTATGTCAGAAAAAACATGGCCTCTTGTCAAGTAGTCAGATGGGAGTTGAGCTTATGCACAGTGCACTACTGCCAACAGTTACATCACACACTAAGCAAGCCTTTAATGTATCTCCAGTATAATTCAGGGGTAAATGCTCTAGCTCCTGATTTGGGTTTGAGTTGTCTTCAGTATGTAATCACATTTTTGCAGAAAAGAGTGGACATATTTCCTGAAAAATGTTTGTTACTTACATATAGTGAATTTTGATACTAAGAAATGTTATTAATCTGAAACAGAATGTTTTTCTTTTTAAAATTGTTTTCATGTATTAGGGAACCAAAAAAATACTGCTACACGTGCTCATAAAAAAAAGCTCTAAACAGAATGTTTGTACCTCAGTGCTGTGTACTAGTTTCCCAATTTGTCCTTATACAATATTACATAGGCAGCATACCTTTTAGCAACGGGGAAACATTTTTCAGACTTTTAGTATCTTACCAGTTTAGACTGTTTCTGTTTTTTTCCCTGTACAGTGCTCTCCCAAAGTACTGGTATAGAAAAATCAAAACGTATTTTTGTTTTTCAGACTAGCAATTTGTATTTGTGATTGAGATTGATATAAATCCTAACTGTAAAAGTAATTACAGTCATTTCTATTTGTTCATTATATCATAATAGAAAAAAAACATACTTTCTGTTTGAAGCAGTGATTTAAAGTAACCATATATAAGTTGACACATTCAGTTCTTTTTTGCTGATGAGAAGTTGAATATATTCTTTGAGTCACCTTCTGCTTGAGTGTGTGACCCACTGAGCTCACCAGACTCTTAGTATAATCATTTGAATTGTGTTTCTGTGGCCAATTCTTGCTGATTCTTTGGGTTTTCTGACTTCTGTGCTTTCTTCAGAAGGAACTCTGTATGGATTGACCTTTTCCTACAGAGTAAACCAATACCTGTGGGCACATTCATATGACAAGGTATGTTAGATCATGGTTGGGCAATGCAGGTGTGTCTGCCTTTCTAACAATATGTGTTCTGAAGGTTAGTTTTCAAGTAATTGTTTGGTTTCTAACTCAGCTAAAACATTAACTGAGGAATAGTCTGACGTAACATCTTTTCAAACCAGATGCATTAAGAGCTAATAGAAATACTAAGCACACTAGTGGAGCTGTAGATAAACTAAACTTGCTAAGGTAATAATTAATTTAGCTTTTCCATCAGTGCCCTAGTTAGTGGGGGAAAATGCTGGTGTCAGTGTTTTCTTTTCATTAGTCAAGAGAAAAAAAATGCTTTTTAGCGCTCAATTACTGGAAAAAGAAAAATGGAAGAACCCTCTTATGTGACACTCTTCTGTACATCTGTAAGTGTCTTGTGGGCAAGAAAAGCAATCTGCCATAGTGAGACACAGCCGACAGGACATGTTTACTTATTTGAAAAATTAAGGTTAAAGAACGAGAAGCTGTTCTCCACCTCCATGACCCTTACATGGGGCCTATTCTATATTCAATGATGCCTGCTGTGTCTGATAAATGACCAGATAACTGTGTAGCAAGATAATGTAATAAGCACTGTCCAGTGGGGAGAGCGCATCCCAGTGTTAGAAGTTCAAGCTAAGTTGAGGGTGTTGCCGTGTTTGCTCAAGCTGAAAAAGTCATACTTTCTGGTAACAATTTCTTGGTGTTCAGTCTTCTAAAATCTAGTTCTTTTATAGTGCCATATGTAGTTTCTCCAGGCTTGTGTTTTAGTAAATAGCCTCCCTTTTCTCTTTTTGATGGGCAAAGATACTATTAATCTTTCCATTTCCAGTGAATGAAATCTTATAGGCAGGGTTAAGCAAAGTTGCCTGAAGGCTGGAGAAAATATCATGAAATACCTCGTGACTGCTTTGTCCCGATTTCGAAAAGATTATTAATGGTGTAAGAAACTGGTAAACTAGTTTTTCTAGTTCTTTCGTTAATGACTGTGACGTTTCTCAGTCACCTTTGAATCATAAACAAAGCCTTATCTGAGAATTCAGTATTCCTATTTAGTGAACTGCCTCACCAATTTTCAATGAATATACCATAGAATGTTTTTTTCTGACAAAAATTCCTTTAATAGCCATACATATGTTTTGAAATCTTTGTTCTCATTTACAACATTTGCCTGTTTTCAAAGAAACTGTCACACATACTTGTCTGAGCTGTCAATTATCCAGATCATTTACAGAGTCTTTCACTTTAGATGTTGGGTTCTTGTGTTTTAGCTTGGGTTTTCAGCTTTTAAATGCAGTGTTTTATTGTAAGAGGTGAAGTTCATATAAAAATGTCTAAATAAAATGCATTTATTTTTACAGTAAATTTTATTCACAATCATACCAGTAAAAATTATTTATTTTGAAACTGACATTTGCAGTACTATAACCAAAGTAGAACAAGAGAGGGTAACAAATAAAAGTGCATGTTATATGGAGACAGCTGATAATGGACAGTAGAGAACCGACAAGTCCTCTACAAAGAGCTCGGTTAGCTTTAAAATGTAAAAACTACAGTTAAGACTACAAAATGAATTCATTGTACAGTAAAAACATGAATTTGGCAATTTGTTGTTAAAATGTACTTTTAAATTATTTTAAAATATTATTTTATAGAATTTCTTCAGAGAATGTACAGTACCTGCTCTGACCTCAGTCTTTAAGGTTCTGAGTAATCAGCAAAAACATCAAACCGACAACATTTTGATTACATATGTCAGGGGGAAATTATTTTTTGCAATTTGGAAGATGTGGACATTTTACATGAAAGTAACAAGTAAAGATTTATTCTATGCTGAAAAGAGCAGAGAATCATTTAACAGAAAATGTTTGCTTACACGCACACACGGAAGGGTACGATGAAATGCATGTATAATATGGATTTAAATATGTAAAGTAGTCCTTTCTCTGCTACTTGGAAGTCAGAAGTCCGTTTCTCTCATGTTTCCCACATTACCTTTGGCAATATACCAGTAATTACAACTAGGAAGTTGCTTCATTCAAAGGCGAAGTCACTCTGCACCACATGAGCAGGAACTATTCAGCTTAGGAGTGACCCAGGAAGACGACATACAGTGAATTTCGGAGCTGAGGAACAGTTATCTAAAAGGTGAGTGAATTTCTTTTGTAAGAATGTATATATGTGTGTATATATATATATTTTTGCTTTTAGTGCCATTTAAACTTACACTTTCTAGTTTCAGATTGTCCAGTGAAATGCCACAAAGTTCTGTTATTCCAAAAACTTTTCTTCATTCTCTTATTATATACAGGCAAGCACAGAACCATATAAGTTATTAAAGAATATTTTCCAGTTGTTTTTTTTATAAGTTCTGATCATTTCCATTGAATAGTTGTAGGTACAGCTAAGAAATTTGCTTCGACTGCAGTAGAGTCTTTCCTTTTAAATTGGCAAGATCTGTGTTACTGTAATGTAGCATAAGGGAGTGAATGTTTCTGCTGTTGGAGTGGGTGTTGCCCCAGGCACAAGCAAGCAGTTGTAAGTGAGGCATATCTAAGCTGTTAAATCCACATCTAGAACACATGAAAATCACACTTTGAAAATTAATGAAAGATGTCTTGTGTAAATCAAAAACCTGTAGCTTCCCAGCTTATCAATGACAGATTCAGAAAAGGTGGTCATTTATTTCAACATTTTAACAAAAGGAGTATATAGGGAATATGAGGAAACAGGATAATTAGTATACAAGAAGTATGCATACATTTCTTTTACATTTTGTCTTTCAAGTTGTTTGAAACTGCTGCTTCTTAATTCAGTGTAGTTTATTTTTTTCAGTTTAGAAAACATTCTTGCTTATTTTATTCTGGTCACTTAGAATCTGCCTTCTCAATGGCGTGACTGTTCAAGCACATCACTTTTGAATTGCATTCTACATCTAACTGTAGAACATCAGAGTAGAATGAGTTGCCTTTGCTGAAGTTATCTTACTGTTTATCTCAGTCTCAATTCTTGTGCAAAAGTAAGTGCATAGTGAAAAGTACATAAATGTACCCATGGAAACCTGGGTTTTGACCGAACAGCGGGTCAAGATTGAAGTGTTGACTCAATATGAGACTAATGAGTTAAGAGTTTCTTTACTTTATCACTTGTTTCACTTTTTTTATAAAAACACAGAAGGTAACTGGCAGTTGCATCTGCCTCTCTGAAAGTTTTTATCAACTGTATATTTGTCTATGTAAATCGTCAGATACATTACCTTAGTAACACTTTCAAGTTATTTAAGAAGTGCATGACCAAAATCCTTTGCATGTAGTTAAGTATGTGTCATTGCTGTGACTGAACTTTTACAAAAAATAGTGAACTTTGTACACATCACATAACACACTAGTTAATAGTATCAGGTGTGAATTAAATAACTTGACATTTGTACCCTAGCGTATCCACAAATAGGTCCTAGACAACCACAAGATTTTCATTCCAACTTACTTAAGTCTATTTATCAACTATAATGTTTTTTCTAGATGTTATGAAGCTGGTGATTTAAAACGTGCACTTTATTCAATTCGCGATTAACCTTTTTTGGGTCTCATTTTCATGAAGTAATTAGTCTTATTATTTGATGTGAGATTCCGTAAGGTGAACCTCCAAGAATCGCATCTGACATCTGATCCAGAAAGAATCCTGTCTTTATATAAGTTTCCTCGAACTGAGAACTAATACGTTATCCCTGTTTTTAAAAACACAATCATAGGGGGAAGAAACATCAAAAATTAAAAGGTTTGTGTAGATGGAGATGACAGACATGTGACTGATTTAAATAAAAAGGTTAAAAAATATGTTTTGGCTGATTTAAATTGTAAACAGTTAATTATAACTGATTTAATAGGAATCCCATTGTTCGTTCAGAATCTGTGACATGGGTCTAACCCCGCAGACCTCTCATGTGCATAAAATGGCTTTTTAATTTAAATAAAAACGTTATTCAAATAACTTTGCAGGCTTCAGTACAGTATTGTAATGCACACTACTACACTAATGCTTTCTTTCAATCCTGTTTTCCTCAGACTCAGGATGGCTGATTGCGTCTGCATCATGTGGTCCATATTCTGGCTGCTTGTGTTGATTTTCCTTGCCTGGCCCATCAGTATTTTCCTAGGCGGCCTTTACGGGTTTGTTGCTCCACTTACAACCTGTGTGGGACTAGACCAAGTGACCGAACTGCTCCTCCAGGGTGTGAACCTTGGAAGAACCTGTGCCCAGAATGTGCGAGTGGGAAAATCCCTCTGCTGAAGGAGCCGACCACCACAGAGCAGCAGCGCATCTCTTCCACCGGAAAGTCTTTTCACCGAACAGACATTTAAGCACAAGTTGACTCCGCGATGACAAGTTCTAAATTTCCAAGCTGTTTTCAAATTTTTGGCTGCTAGGGCTGCTCGATGAATTCAGAACGAAGCCAAGACAACAGCTACGATATTATTCCCGGCTAGTTTTCCCAAGAGTGACACACCTTGCGTTTTCAACCTCTATTAAGTTTTTTCTACGGTTAAAATAAAATGCTAAAAAGAGCTCAAGGCAGTTTGTCAACCTTATTTTTAATGTGTGGGTATAATCCTTTGTAAACAGGAAGTTGTAGTATCAAGCAGCCAATACTGATATATCAGCTTGACTAAATTGCAAAGAGCTATTTACAGATACTATGTATGTTTTTGTATTCAAAAATGTGCTTGCAGCCTCATAAGAGATGATACAATAGCTATTTTATCAACACCGGTTAATCCAAGATAACTTTCATTTCTATTATGATTGTATAGTATAAAATAGATTTTGAGTCTGTATTAACAGGTTAAAGTTTTTTTTTGTATTATGTATGATTTATAATACTATCCTTATACATTATCAGTGTTATACTATGCCACCATTGGGTACAAAACGGACTCTTGCTATCCCAAAAACATCACAAAAAATAGATTTTTAGACTGCATTTAAAGTTATACTTTTTCCGTTAAGGTTATTTTTGAGCTTTAAAAGTTATTTAAAAGCTTTAGCATTTTCTCCACTGCCGGTAACATTTGTGCTGTGATTTTATGATGCACTGTACACAATTTCTGTATTTTATAAGAAATTATATGACACTAAAATGCAACCAGGCTTGGTTTAAAAAATTGCACAATAGCAGTTTTCACAAGCACTACATTGAGGTGGGTCATGGGTTCATTCAGTTCTTCACTGGGCCAGAAAAGGTTGGCGGGTGTGTCTGTTCCTCTATTCTGTATCCAGTACCATCTGTTAATTTTAAGTGTTGCAAATTTAATTTATTGCACACAGCATTGCATGTGATCTGCCTAGATGTCATTTCTGACTAATTATCATATTAAACATGTGCTTAACATCTGGGAATATGCGAGGATGGGCTGTCAGCGTTAAAACATACTGTGTCACCACTGGGCTCAAAAATCAGACTCTTGGTTCTTGAAAACACATCAGACATGCCTGTGGCTTTAACATCTGTGCAGCGTCTTTAGGGCTTTCCCACATCTCTTTAAGAAACCTGAACAACACAACCTGATGACATGCTGCCTTCTCCTCTTAAGGTTTACAAGACAGAATTAGATGATTTAAAGAACAAGGAGATTCCAGGAGCCATAGTTAATCCAGAAGAGAGATGAAGTGGATGAATGAGTGCGAAGTTTTCAGATTTATCTGTTAATTTAGTGTGAAAATAGACATTCAAGATACATTTTTAACGAAAGAAAAAAACCGAGGCGCACAGACACTTTACTCTTCATAACCCTGCCTTTGAGACTTATGAAGTGTTATGGAAAGAGAGTTGAAGCTGTGTCACTGCTTCGGAAAAAAAAATCAATGCAAACTCGTTCTTTGCTTCATTCATTGCTTCAGGTCACAAGACCTGATAAACTCTAAACAAATTATTCTGGTATTCAGCATTTTATAAAAAGCAGGATTTTCAGAAAATCTCTTAATCAATAGATCTTGCGGATGCTGTGCATCCACAATTGTTTTTATGTAATTCCTGAATATTCTATTTTTAATCAAAAGCTTTCTGTTTTTGTAACTGAATGTACAGTATGACATAATTTTGTCATTCTGTAAAGTGGGATTCTCAATCTTTAAAATGAGTTGGAAATCTGGCCTTATCTCAGGTGATCAATTGTAATATATGAATAAGGCCTAATTAAATTTCTTTTTTTGAAGTCCAAAATTTTCCCCCCAAAGTACAAGTAGTAAAGGCAGAATGTCACAAGTTCTGCTTTAGTAATTACCTGGCAACCGTCAAGCCTTTCAATAGAAGGCACCTAGACAGGGAATGGTATATTACAGAAAGCCATGGTTGGTCAAGAGGAAAGAAAAAAGAAGAAATGTAAACATATTGAAATATATTGTTGACTCCCAATGTAGTGATTTGTGTAAACATTTACCTAATAAATAAGAAGAACAGTCAATAAAGCTAGGCATCCTGATTAACCCCCTACTGTACTAATGTTTTTAACTTGACTTCTAGGTGCAATTAAGTTGTTAACCGTCTTCAGTTTGTTCAAGAAGGGATTCAAGTTCTCCTAATGAAATAAAAGAATGCAGAACTGTTCACTTCACTGAACTGTCTTGCTTCAAGGACTTTAACCTTTGCCCTGTAACTGTACTTCTAGTTGAAACAGTTTTCACCAAGTCAGCTTTTTAAAGATATGTCACAAATGGCTTATGTTTGTAACACAGCAGAAACTTGAACTGCTGTTATTTCTATAAATATTTAATATAATTATCATTTTTTGTCAAAAAATCTGTTTTATGTCATGAATTCAAGTTGTGCCATGCTGCTTTTTTTTAACCAGAAGCCACTGACCGTTTTAGATCTCGTGAATGTCTTCTGAATGATGCTTCCCAAATCTCGTGGACAGAAATTTACCACATCCTTTTTTATTTACTGAAAACATTTCCTGAAATAAGTTCCTTCTTTTTCTGCAATGTTCAACTACATTTTTACATGCTATTAAATTAACAAAAAAACTATTACACATAAAAGCTTTTTACAAACAAATGTAAAAGTGTAACTATTAAAATGTTTTGTATAGGTCTAAGTAACACAATAATTTGTGATGTTTATCTAGTAGCATTACGTTCTGAGTAATCAATATGTGCTAAATACTGTATCTCAGCATTTCTATTGATGTGCAATAGTGTCTTCACTTGACGTTTTGCAACTATCTCAAGACATTATATTTTTACATTATCTGAAATTCCATACAAAATAAGCAATAATGTTACAGTATACACATAAAAAAATTAGCTGATTCTAAATTAGAATGTAGCTCTAAGGAATTTTGTTCTTTTTTATTATAGGCCTGCTACTAATCTCCTGCATATATGCCATTTAATTTATTGCTATAGATCTTTACATAAATGTTAGAATGCACCCTTTGCCTTCTTAACTTTTATAAATGTAAGATTAAAAGGGGTATATATGGAAGTGTCCAAGCGTGGACGTTTAAGAGAGGCACTGAACACCCTATATTAAAACATTTCTGAACTTTCTGTGACCTCCACAAACCGGCAACACGGACATCATTTATTTGACTTATTTCGCAATTCCTGCACTAGGTTTTTCGGGAGCATTTTCCCATTATCGTTTCAGTTTAATCCCAAAAATTCTAAATGTATTATCATACCCGCTGTGTTCTCTGCATATTTGCTGCAAGGTAGCAAATCCCTGACCTAAAATAGACTAACAGGTTTATCATTTTTGAATTATGACTCGCTTAAAACGTTTTGAATGGATGATCACCGTTCAGAAGGGGGTATACGACATGTATAAGAAATGCACAGGAGCAAGTAAAGGTTTATTCCATGCGGAAAAGAGAAGAAAAGAAACACAATGTTTCGGCTGTGGAGCCTTCTTCGGGTGTGAACACGGGTGTGAATGGAATAATCTTTTACTTGTTTCTTTGCAGCCTCGCATGCTAACGTAGCTGCCTACTTTAATGTCTTGGAAATGTATTGCTTGAGCGATAAAAACAGCCCGGGAAAATAAGTTTACTCCACTTTCTTTTACAGTATACAATATACAACACTGTACTGTTTATTTTTACACTGTATATCAAAATGTGCGTGAATAAGTTTACATACATTAAATGAATTGGACATCACTTAATTGTTATTAGTGATACAACATTTGATTTATTGTAATGGTATACATTTAATAGCAATACTTTGTAGCCGCCCGTATTGCTGTAGTTGCTGTATTAGCAAAAGCCAATTAGGAGGAACAGATTTCTTTTCGCTGACCTTTGATTTTAAGAGTAATATATTTATAAGAGTAATAATGGTTTTGAAAAGGTTTGAGCATGAATATTTAAATTTAGAAACAGCTTTAAAAGCCAGATGCCACTCGCAAAATTTTAATTTCATTTAGCAGGGATTAACACTCCAATTGTATTTATCGTTATAAAGCGATTTTGTCCGGAGGACCAAAGGTAAATAAGTTTGTGGTGAGCTGCTGTAAACCCCAAAATATGTAAGACGACTCCTACAAGGGACCAAAAATACTTTTGAAATGTTAGGTCTATCACTGCTTGATTCGACGTTAATTATTGCAGTTCCAAAACTGATAACTTTTATGCGTTCTAGTTTGACTCATCCATTCTTGAAAATGAAACATAGTTTTTAAAGAAGGTCTGAAATTGCAACAGTAACCTAACGCTTTCACAGTGGGTGGTGTCTCACGTACCAGAACTACTGCCTTGTCAACAAGCGCTTTAAACATGTTAGCAATACCCCTAAAGTAAATACTGTGAGATCAATTTAAGTCCATTAAATAAATAATTCAATTTGAGAATTAGGTTATGCACACAAACAATTGTTATATAATATTAGTAGTAGTGGTAGTGGTGATACTTGCAATAATACAGTAGGTAGGGTATCTCATACAGTATTTTGTTATAAGCAGCCAGTAAATTATACTGTAGGTTACTTATCTGTACGATAAAGACAGAATGCAAGTAGTTTATTAAATATGACTCTGCTATCTAATCTGAAACAAAAAAAATATTTGCTTACAAAACAAAGCCTTTATTAAGAATAGACATTACACCGTAAGTTAATTATAAAATTGAAATGTATTGGTTGATGCTGATACGTGTATACATCCCTATAATCGACTATTTGTAATCTTAAAAAGCAAGAAAAGGGGAAAACAGGTACAGATTTAAAAGGCAAATCTTTGATCTTGCACGAACCTAAAATGATTTTTAAGCAAAGAACGGTGAGTGAGCTTATACAGGAGCGCACTGGCACTTGTCTTTGGTGAGCAAAACAGATTTTGTATTTCTTTTGTTTTATCACCTTCGTTATTTCTTGAGCTAGGTCCCCGTATTTGGCCACTATTTTGAAAAGTAACAGTCTGCTCCTGTATTCGCTCTGTACTGTAGCGGAGTTGCTTTCCATACATGGGCTACAGCCCTGGATGCCTCTAGCTGGATTCTCCTTCTCCCTCAGTCATTCCATTAATGGCCTCACAGCTCTCAATGGCGTGAAGGCTACCAAATAAGGAGAAGGGGGTCTGCTTTGCCCCCTGAGAGGCTCACAGCTTCACTGACACTTGTAAGAGTATAAATTGGAGTTTACTCTCTGCCACACTACCCTGCTACTTTTCAGGAGCCAGCTGTAGGTGCTTATCTGGTGAGTAACCGTCCTGCTCGTCTTCTCTGCTTGGCAAAGCAAAGAGACCGAAGCCGCTTATTACGCTATGTGAAGAGAGGTCTTGTATGTTTAAACAGAGGGACAATACTCAAGATTCTCAATGGAATACCCAATACCTGAACTAAACATCGCTGACTAATCGGAACTAAGCGACACGGAAACAATTTTAATGCCAGTGTCTTATTTCTGGAAATAAACTTTAAACCTTCAGCCTTCTGGGAAGAAGACAAAGGCACTGAAGCGTAAACGAATTAGCCACTTTTAACAAAAATGTATTTAAACCCGTGCTTCTGCTATACACAGCGAAACCTAGAACACGTCGATGACAGAAAAGCTATTGCTACTACAGCTAGGGCCTCTAGCTAAATTAAACATCTGTTTTTTTTTAATAATTTAAATTATTTTCAGTTAAACCAATTCTTCGTCTATATATGAAGATATGTGTAACACCTCATATATGCATAAACTACTTACAGTAGGCTATACCATTATACACCATCAACATTTAAATTAAACACTTCTTCCATGTGTCGTCATTGTATCGTGGTATTGGTATTGAGGGGGAGTCTTCATAAATCTAAGATCGGACCATTAAGAAAATGGTTTATGACAGCGGTAGTTCACTGCCTTTACTTCGGGATCTGAGGAAGTAAGTAGGCGTGGTCTTACTTTCTCTCCTGTTTCGCTCTCTGCTGCAGATCCACATCTGTCACCATGTGCGACGACGAGGAGACTACTGCCCTGGTGTGCGACAATGGCTCTGGTCTGGTGAAGGCTGGCTTCGCCGGAGATGACGCCCCACGTGCCGTGTTCCCCTCCATCGTCGGTCGCCCCCGTCACCAGGTACATGGCGATCCCATTTTTTCTTTTCTTTAGGACAATAAGCAAAGCAATATGAATGAAACTCAGTTACAGCATTATTGCAAACTACTCATTCCGATTTTATTATAATGCCAAGTGTTACACATTTGGCATTACAACCTGAAGTGATGATAGTTTAAACACATCACTCACAAGTGTTCCACAAACAAGTGTCCTATCTTAGATGTGTATCAGTTATGACTTTACAGCAATTTACAAAGAAAGGTTTGAAGCTCTCCTTAGAGGGGAAGACGGGTGGTGTGTTGTTCCGTTCAGGTGTATTTAAGTCTATCTTTCACATTGGTCTCCTTTAGGGCGTCATGGTCGGTATGGGTCAGAAAGATTCCTATGTTGGTGATGAAGCTCAGAGCAAGAGAGGTATTCTGACTCTGAAGTACCCCATTGAGCATGGTATCATCACTAACTGGGATGACATGGAGAAGATCTGGCACCACACCTTCTACAACGAGCTGCGTGTAGCCCCTGAGGAACACCCTACTCTTCTCACTGAAGCTCCCCTGAACCCCAAAGCCAACCGTGAAAAGATGACCCAGATCATGTTTGAGACCTTCAACGTCCCAGCCATGTATGTGGCCATTCAGGCTGTCCTGTCTCTGTACGCCTCTGGTCGTACTACAGGTGAGAGAACAAGAACTTCCAGCTACAATAATAATAATAATGTGTTGAAAAACGCAGTGTTGCTTCATGTTAGAACACGTGAAACGTTTGTGAAGCCACGATGCTCACGATCAGTAATTTTCTATATAATGACTTAGGTAGCAATTAATTCCATTTATAATTACTTTTTCAAGCATAAACACTACAAAATTACTGCACTGCTCTGTAGCAGAGGACAGGTGCTTATTCCATGTACTCTAAAACATTATAACATTGACTTAAACAGGCATCAAAGCTTTTTAAAAATGTTTGTTATTATTGTTATTGATTGATTTATCCCCAAGGTTTCCTTTGTCTGAAAAGTACTTCATCATTGTCACAGGCTTACAGACTGTACAGGAGGCGTTTCTTAAGCTGTATTTATCTAATAAAGCTTGTGTTTTCTTCTCATCTCTGTGTAGGTATTGTGCTGGACTCTGGAGACGGTGTGACCCACAACGTGCCCATCTATGAGGGTTATGCCCTCCCCCATGCCATCATGCGTCTGGACCTGGCTGGCAGGGATCTGACTGACTACCTCATGAAGATCCTGACTGAGAGAGGCTACTCCTTCGTCACCACTGGTACAAGCAGTTCTGCAGTTATCAGATCGTTTATATGAGGGGCGTATACAATGGTTAGCAAAACTCTAAGTATTCCCCCCTTTTGTCCCTTTCAATAGCTGAACGTGAGATTGTGCGTGACATCAAGGAGAAGCTGTGCTATGTGGCCCTGGACTTTGAGAACGAGATGGCCACTGCCGCCTCCTCCTCCTCTCTGGAGAAGAGCTACGAGCTGCCCGACGGTCAGGTCATCACCATCGGCAATGAACGTTTCCGCTGCCCTGAGACCCTCTTCCAGCCTTCCTTCATTGGTAAGTGGCCATAATCCCACAGCCACCTCTTGAGAATTACATTAAGGGTTTGAAAAGTTTATGTTGGTTTTAAGAGTGCACAAATTTTAAACATTCATTCAAAAAAAAGATCTTCATAGTTAACAGGAACAATCGACAGAAGTCACACAATAAGAAACGCACCAAACAGTGTATATACAACTGTTAGGGAGTCATAGAGTTCAGCACCTGGACCGCAGTTAACTAACAACTGAATAGTTGTTTTACTGGATGCTCTGAAGATTTTTTCTGTTGTTTAATCTAGGCATGGAATCTGCTGGCATTCATGAAACCACCTACAACAGCATCATGAAGTGCGACATTGACATCCGCAAGGACCTCTATGCCAACAATGTCCTGTCTGGTGGTACCACCATGTACCCTGGTATTGCTGACCGCATGCAGAAGGAAATCACTGCCCTAGCTCCCAGCACCATGAAGATCAAGGTACATTTTAATATTTCATTGTAATGTTGGCAGTTCTTGCATTATCTTGATAGTTGCTCTTTACTGTATGTTACAAATGGATTTTTGATGCCTATGTGGTTTTTAACGCCTGCTGTACTCATAATATGGCTGTGAAAACCCGTAAAAGCATGTTTGTTTTCAGACTAAATGTTTACCCCTCTTTTTTCTCTCTCTTTGTCTTAGATCATCGCTCCCCCTGAGCGTAAGTACTCTGTCTGGATCGGTGGCTCCATCCTGGCCTCTCTGTCCACCTTCCAGCAGATGTGGATCAGCAAGCAGGAGTACGATGAAGCTGGCCCCTCCATCGTCCACCGCAAATGCTTCTAAATGCCCCTTTATTTTCCTCTGCCTATGGATTCCATGATTATGGCTCTTGGAGAATCCAGGCAACTCTCCCTGAACTTCCCTCAATGTACAGTTTGTTTACACACAAGTGCAATTTATATGTGGATAAGATATTTATTGGTTTATAAATAAACAAGACCCGGGACTTGCAACACATTTTGTCTTTGTATCCAATTTTCTTACTGTATGTGGTCATTCACAATCACAAAGCTCTTTGACATCTTTGATAAAGATACTTTTAGTGTAATTTTAAATGTTATTTCTGCTTATTCTTTAAATTCAATTATTACTTTGGTATCTTATCCAGTACTGACTTTACTGTATAAATACTGTATGTAAAATTTTAACATCAAATGCACTCTTATGGAACAGAAAATTATCTGCTCTGATCTACACAGTTGTGCTAGGAGACCTCACTTACAATTCTTAATCTATTAACCCCTCATTTCCAATATTACACTGAAGGCAAGTCAAAGCACTTTCTTTTTCCACTAATTTCTTTAGGGCATTAGTTCATTAAAATAACAAAGATGTTCTACATTATTATGAAACTATAAATACACAGTACTATCCAGCTGTTCTGAATGCAATGCTAGTTTATTATGCTGTGCATTGAGTTCTCTTCAACTGTTTGATCAGTTATGTTAAAACAATTTCTCATGGCATTATATATATATATTATCACATTTTATCAATTAATATTCCCATCTTACTTTTGATTTGTATAACAGAGTCAGGGATAATTTTATGCTAAAAGAAAATAAACATTAAAATATTAAAAGGGTGCAACCTAAAAGAAAACTACAATTGTGTTCGTAGCAATAACTTATTGTAGTGTCAATCAGAACATGAACTATTCCCAAAGTTATGTCTGATAAGCCATTACATTTTCCTGTAATGACTGTTGGAGTGTGTTCATTTCAAAGAGTATGAATGTTTGTCTGATTGCCAATTATGCGTGGTATTTCTGACTAGCAGAAGTACAAGATGTAAACACGTCAGTTCTGTCTTTATTTTACAAATAGCACTCGGGCTCATTTATGTCGATGGTGATAATGCAGATGACATCACGAAGTTAACTTCGAAAAGTCCTTTTACAGTAGACTAGGAAGTGTGTAGGTGGACGAATTTAGGCTGGAGGTGGGGGAGAGTTACTAAACGGTATATTCTGAATGGGAAAAATTAGAGTTTACTGTACAACCAAATTACAGGAGCGGTAATTGCTTTCACCCAGCGTTCATAATGGTAAAATTAACTAGATAAAACTAACATTTACTTAATAGTTCTGTGAAATAAATATTGCTAACATCATGCGCGTTACAAAAGGCAAAACAATATTGTTTAAAATCACCCATGTAATAAAATCCGGCAATATATTATTTCTTCACAAGTGCAAAGTAACTATGAGCGCTGAACCTAACTTTTACTACATTAATACACGAAAACTACAGTGTCCCAAGACACGTGAGACCGCTGTGGTAGAAGGTTATAAAAGATTTGATAGTATTATCCTGGTGAGATAAGCCCTTCCTGTGTTAAACATGTGCTCATCTTTCGGTTTATGCGTTTACTGTATATGGGTGCATCTGTACTGCTTTTTTAGTCGTCTATAGTCACAAAGAACAGAGCTAATAACCTTGACTAAAACTACCAATCATGGTTATTTTCGCTAAATTAAGGAGTTTCTTAAAAGACAAAAACATCTTTCATCATTTTCTGAAAGTGAGTTAACGAAGCAGCTAACACTGTTACACACCTTATGTAAACAACAAACTGAATTCGTCGAATATGCAATAAGAAAAGTAAACGAATCGTTAATCCAAGTTTATTAGCTTTTTCAATCGCTCTCCTGAGTTGAACCCACATTTATAACAGTCCTAAAACGGTAAGGCTTAACTGTTAAAAACTAAAATTACATACATTTTCAAAATTTCATCACTAAAACAGCTAACAAAAAGCATATACAGATCTAATTTACAACAGCAGTGTTATTGTTTTCAGTGAAAAAGTACTTGCAATACCACGGCCAAGTAACGAATTCTCCGCCTTGAAATGTTTTAAGACGTTTGCTTGACTTTCCGATAGATGATCCATTTTCGGAAAGTGACCGATTCGTAAAGCGAAACTTGAACTATTTTTCTAGCATCTGTATTGTTTCCACTCTCGAAACTTAAGTGAAACTCGGGATACCTCTTTAACGCAGCTATCAGGTGTACCCGAAGAATTACCGTTCTGTTCTCCGCAAATGCACTAATAGGCACTTCTACTACAAAGCACAGGACCGAGATTTGGACAGATAGTAAAATCTGCGTTTTATGACCCAGGACCATAATTGAAATCAAGGAAGCAAGTAAAAAGCCTGAGAGGACTAATGAAAAATATTGATTTTTAAAAAAATATCTATTTTTTTAACCGCCCATTTAAGGGTCAAGACACCATATGACCCGTATCTTAGGATACATCGCACTCACACCACACTTACCTTTCCCTTCTTTCTTTAATCTCCCTCATAGAATCCGGACATAATTCTGTCTAGCTCACTAATTTTATGTATTGCAAATGAGACACCCCAGAGCACTGAGATTATCACCAATCATTTTATTACAGATTAATCTGGTACCAGTTTATTCGGAGAATAATGAAAATGAGAAATCCTGGTATTTTTTGGCTGCCGTCCACCAACCTGTCTGTCTGTGACGCAGGAGGAGACTACTTAAAGGGAGATTAGAGCTGGCAAGACATTAAATCCAACCTCCCTCCATTCAGACACCGCGCGACCCATCATCCTGATCTGAAGATCGAAAATAGGAGGGCTTACACTAATCAGCACTTCAGACTCGAAGACAAGCAAAAGTGTGGGATCGTCGAACTGGGTTTCAGCACTGGCACGGAAGGGGAGCACCGGCTTTTGATCAATGCATTTGCCAGACAAAATCGGAACCTCTGGAGAGTGAAACAGGAAATAATAACATTTCATCGCATTTCGTGCAGAGTGCTGTGCTCTTGTCTCCGGATGAACAGAAATGGGGGAATGGACCATCCTAGAGAGACTCCTGGAGGCTGCTGTCCAGCAGCACTCTACTATGATAGGAAGGTAAGAGTACAAGTGCGCTACATCATTTGCAAAAGTACCGACGTGCAATTATTTAAGCAACACGAACTGCAAACACAGTTTTATTGCGTTCTGTATGCAAATACCTTAACGTGTTGACAGTTATAGTGCGGCGACGCCTGTTTATTTTCTACTTACATTTATCTGGAGATACAGAGTGAATTAGTGGCAAATGAATGATTATTCAATGGTATGATCCCGGCAAACATTAAGCATAAACTCTAAGAACACTGGTCTGCTAATAGTTTTAAAATGATACAGAATCTGTACCTTTTGATAACATAATGAATGACTTCTCGCCTAGGAATCAATGTTATCTTTTGCCGTTTAAAAGAACAACTCTCAGCAATTTCAGAAGAGCTGTTTCAGCACTGGACAGCTCCCTAAAACACTCAAAAGCTTAGTCACCAGTTTCAAACACAAATTATGTCCGTGTTGCGTTATACAATGAAACCATATATTTATTCTTTGCTTTTTTTATTTTTAGGATCCTGTTAACAGTGGTGGTGATCTTCCGGATTCTAATAGTAGCTATAGTTGGAGAGACAGTCTATGATGATGAACAAACCATGTTTGTTTGTAATACCTTACAACCTGGCTGTAACCAGGCGTGTTACGACAAGGCATTTCCAATTTCTCATATCAGATACTGGGTATTTCAGATCATTATGGTGTGCACACCAAGCCTTTGTTTTATCACTTACTCGGTGCACCAGTCTGCAAAGCAAAAGGAACGAAGGTACTCCACTGTGTTTCTCACATTGGATAAAGACCAAGATTCTATGAAACGCGAAGACAGCAAGAAAATTAAAAACACAATCGTAAACGGAGTACTTCAGAACACAGAGAACTCAACCAAAGAAGCCGAACCCGATTGTCTGGAAGTGAAAGAAATCCCAAATTCAGCCATTAGAACTACTAAGTCTAAAATGAGGCGACAAGAAGGGATCTCAAGATTTTACATTATCCAAGTGGTTTTCAGAAACGCGCTGGAGATTGGATTTTTAGTGGGTCAATATTTTCTTTACGGATTCAACGTTCCCTCAGTGTATGAGTGTGATCGATACCCCTGCATAAAAGATGTAGAGTGCTATGTTTCCAGGCCAACGGAAAAGACTGTTTTTTTGGTTTTCATGTTTGCGGTCAGTGGGATTTGTGTAGTACTGAATTTAGCAGAACTCAATCACTTGGGATGGAGAAAAATCAAAACGGCAGTAAGAGGGGTGCAGGCCAGAAGGAAGTCCATTTATGAAATTAGGAACAAAGACCTGCCTAGAATGAGTGTGCCTAATTTCGGCCGCACTCAGTCGAGTGACTCCGCATACGTGTAGCACACTTTTATAGAATACGGTGGACAATTTGTGATGTACAGTTACGTTTAAGAGAATGAAGACTAAAATTCCGGACATTTCCATTCGCCAATTGTATTTCATTAATTGCGCGGTGGATTGATTTTTGATTTTCAATGGACTGCAATAACAAACGTGTGTTTGTTTTTCTTATTAAATTGCACTGATGCAACTTTTTAGTAACGTTTATACTCTGTACATCGCTTGACAGCACATTGACGTGTTCACAAATTTACTCGTTTGTACACTGCAGAGCTACTGAGCTCGAGGAGAGTAAATACGAATTGCACTAAGTTGTGAACACCTGGAGCCAAACAAGCCCCAAATTGTGCTATTGACAGTGATTTCTTACCTACCCTGTACTTTCCACCTCTTACAATCATTCTGTCACAGCGAGTTGGCAATGTTTGGAAAAATATGTACTTCAAATGAATTTTAAATTCTGATTACGGAGAATCGAAGTAGATGAAATTCTATAGCTTTCTGTGTTTTTTTTTTGTTGCCTGTGTTCACACCACTAACCTTAACGTATGTAACCATTCCATTGCTATATAGCTGAACTGCAAAATAATATCGGGTGGATTTGCTGCAAACGCTAACGTCTGTGACTTCCTTAATTTATTATACACCAAAGCGCCCATTGCTTTCATTTGTCAAGAACTGTTTTCTTGCTTTCGTGTAATTAAGTGCCATACATGTATATATACATATAAATATATAAATACATTAAAATATTCATCATGAAAGCGAACTTCCTGCTTGCATTATGCTTAATGCTGCCCTGTTTTGCTTTAATTGTTGTACTCTAAGTGGAAATGGCATATAATCCTTTTTTGCAATTATTTGAAAATAAAGCTCTAATCTTTTTTATACAAGAAACATCTCCATTTGCAATTTTTTAGGTTTCAGTTCATGGCAACACATACTGTTATTCTCATTATTCTAAAAAGCACTTCCCCAGATGCTGATGTTTTTACTTAAGGATATTCTCACAAAGAAAATAATGTCATTCACCAACACTGAATATGTGCCGAGTACTTTTAGCGATACGAACTTTAACAAGTGTAATGGTGTGTAATGCAATGTGAGCTGAATTCTGGTTTTCTCACCCAGAGATCCAGAATATTTTGCCTTTGCTCATAGCAATGACCTCACTAGTATGCCCACTGGTTTTCTACCATATGTGGCAATCATATAAGGCTAGAATCTAAATGGGTCACTCACCTGATCTTGGAGAGAAAAGTGTGCTGCAGTTGCTCCCTTTTGTGTTACCCTTGCTACATCTCATTTTGTATCAATGCTACTTAGATATAAAATCTATGTGCTGTCTGTGTACCTATCTATTGGCACATTGTAAGAATGATGGAATCTACTTTACTAGTAAATATCACACAGTCAGACAGATATGCGGATGTAAGCTGCATGTCCAAGGAAGATGTGTCTGTCTTCACTGCATCAGGATGACTGTACTGGAGTATGCAGCAAGATCCTTAAGATCAGGGGAAAACTGACATGCGAGATCATTTTCAGAGTGCTGATGAATGCATTTCCAATGCAAAAATGTTGCTGAGAAAATGACAGCACTAGGGGGTCTGTAGAGTCAGTCTAGAAATGGTTGACAATGTGATATTGGATTGCTGTATCGCCTTGTTTTTGTGTATATATCATTGTGAACATCTCTTATAGGCCATCATTCATTGGGTCAGGAAGCATTCCAACACTATCCAAAATTCAAATGTCTGAGCAGCAATACAATAATTTAATCTCCACTTTGCAATAAAGTATCCCCTGCATCTGCATATATACTGTAGCACATACAGTATACAGTACATCTAGCGCTTTTGAAAACATGTACACATACTGTAGATAGCTCCTCCATAACAACAAATGAAGGTGAACTGTACGTCTCATGACTATTGAATTTAACCTTATACCAAGGTCCATGTCTGCAGAACTGAGAAACAGGGTTGCCAAAAAAAACTCTAAAACATAAAAATATGCCCTTTCTAAAACATCTACTAAGGATCTTGGGTTATGTATGAGTAACAGTGAATTTTTTATCATTGGGGTTAAATATTTCATGCTACCATTATTGTCGTCCCATTCACACACACTTTCTGAAGCAAGAGAAAATTCATTTTTCATACCTTGTTCTGAAAGCACTTTTCAATTGACTGACATCTACGAAGACTATATTATCTTCATTTTTTTCTACTTCAGGATTGTCAAAAATATTTATAAAATTAATGAGATATAAACTAAATGTCATATTTAAGGTTTAAACTATATCCCATTCAAAATATTTACAGGAAAACACCTCTAAACTGATATTTGAACATGGACTTGCATATTAATGTAAAAAAATCTGTGAAATCACTGCTGCGATAATATACAGTAACTGCACATTGATCATCATAGTAGAGCAGGTCATCCTTAATATTAAAAATGACTAAACGACTCATTTGAAAATATCGCATTAATTACTGACCACATTATTGGCATTAGTAAGGAGTAAAAACTAGATACAGTTCATAAACGTTTTCCTGATCAGATTTTAAAGGTGTTTTACACTGCTTGTACTCCAGTTGGTTATATGTTTTTCAACAAAAACATTAAAATGACCACTACCTCCAAGATAAGTTTTCAAAACCCCATCTTCAACAATTTTCTTCTTCTATTTTCATAATTAACTAATATTATGGTCTTCATTTTGTTAATTTTAGGTGTGCATCTAAGGCATACAACAAAAAAATCACAATTTGTTACAGTATATACTGTAGTAAATACATTGAACAATGTAATACCTTACTTTAATTTTCTGAAAGCACTTATGAGCAAATACATTTTTATCTTGTGATCTGAATAAATATCCCCTGTGATACACTGTTTAGTTGCAAACTATTTGGGAACTGTTCAGACTTTTAGTTAGAACTTCAAAAAGTAAAGATATTGCATTCAGAAATCTGAACTCACAGGGGATCAACGGATATACGATTCATTGCAGAGATATTACTGTACAGTATTACATTTGAAACAATTTGAGGGTGACTGTACTTGACTGCAGTATCAAAGATACTATATTCCTCTCCATTTTGCAAGCCTTAGATGAAAATGCATCTTTTTACTTTAGTCTTCTGAAAAAATTTTCTCAACATACTGGAAAGCAGCTACCTGAAGAGCAGTTAAAATGTATTGTCCCATTGGTATTTCATAACATTTTCACACTTGTGGTTTCTTTGCATACCATGAAAGTGCTGAGTAAATAGATATACAAAATACATTATCTTTAAGACAAAGTAATTTAAATGTATTATCTAGACTTAAAAATATTAGTTTCCAACATTCTACACAAAAGTTATGTACCAATACAAGTACTTTAAAACTTAGTACAGTATATCTCTACCCAAATAATTTTGAAGATATTGTATTTCACTAAAAAAGGCTTTTAATGGATTCACAAGCACCTTCAAAAATTGCCCATTCATTTTAATGGTCTCTGTAATACACTTTGGATTATTCCAAATAAAGAAACATCAAAATGAAATTAAAATTGAATTAAAAGGTAATTTGCTGCCTCAAAACCATCAACCTGAGTGCAATTTAGAATAATGTAGCTGCTTGTTCATACTCTCAAACATACCTATAAATATTGTTTTTCTCATGATAACGAGCTTAGATAGGGTTGAGAGCTCTCTATCACAACTGTGTATAAAATGAAAAATTGGTCTTTAGACATTTACTTCAACCTCCTATTCAGCATGCTAAAACATGTTTTTATTGTTCCATGTAAAGTGACTTCAAATTTCAAAATATATACAGTTTTTATTATAATAATTTTTATAAATTCTTTTACTTATTTATTTGGCTGATGTATCCAAGGCAATTTACATGTGTACAGCAGGATATTTTACACTAGCAATCCACAGATTTCCAAAGATTGCTAGTGCTAGTGTACGCTAGCAAGAGTACAACAGCAGTGCCCAACCAACAAACATCCAAGTACTGTACACACAATAGTACTATGCCTTTATTTCTACCAGTGGTCATTTTAAAAAACACATCTAAGATGAAATTTTTAGTATTAGGCATCTGTAATTACTGTACATTCTTCTATATGACAAGTTAAGATATCAAGTAAAAGGGAAGATTAGCTGCACAATAAGTATGATGTTAAAGCTGGTCATCAAAACAGCATATTCCTGTCAATTTTTTTTTCAATTCAATAATAATAATAATAATAATAATAATTGCTTACACTTATATAGCGCTTTTCTGGACACTCCACTCAAAGCGCTTTACAGGTAATGGGGATTCCCCTCCACCACCACCAATGTGCAGTATCCACCTGGATGATGCGACGGCAGCCATAGTGCGCCAGAACGCTCACCACACATCAGCTATCAGTGGGGAGGAGAGCAGAGTGATGAAGCCAATTCATAGAGGGGGATTATTAGGAGGCCATGATTGGTAAGGGCCAATGGGAAATTTGGCCAGGACGCCGGGGTTACACCCCTACTCTTTTCGAGAAACGCCCTGGGATTTTTAATGACCACAGAGTCAGGACATCTCATCCGAAGGATGGATTCAAATCACAGTGATAATACTATACTATTTAAACTACCAAATAAAATTAGAATACACAAACCTGATTTTCACTGCGTTTATTTTTTATCAATAAAAACTAACCATATGTCCACCTGGTGTAATACTTACTGTATAATACTTGTAATAACAGCCCTGTAAAGGGTTTTAGTCGATCACAGAAAAAGAATAAAAAAGAAAATTTTCCTATTTTCCATTTTTATATTATACTGAAAGCTGGCATCCAGTACTGTCTTTGAAAACATCTACAGTATCTTTACATTAAACTTCAGTATCTAAACAAGATTTTTATTTGTTTAGCAGAACACGGTGCCTGTAATAACAATAGAGTGTTCGTAATTTAAAAGTAAATTTGTATCCACCAAGTACATATAAATGACAACAAACTGTTTGCCTACAACTGTGAACAAAAGTGTGACAAAATAGTAATCAAAAACACTGAGCATGGAATATATACAATTAAGAATCTTTGGGAAATTATTATCATGTACTTATCTGTTCCTAATACACAATACATGCAGTTTTGTAGCTACAGTATATGCAAAGCAAGTTCCCCTATGAAAATACCCCTACTTTGCAAATAAATATAATTATTTTCTCTCTAGAACAAACAGTAAGTATTTTTTCTGTAACATGGTTTTTGCTATCACAAATAGATAGCACCATACATTCTCTGATGTAAAACTATGCTTAAAACAAGCATTCATGTTTTATGCAAAAAAGAAATAATACAATTTGAAAATAATACAGCACACTAGAAACAATTTGCAGGAGGAACCCAATTGTCTTTTCCTTAGTTTCCACAATAACCAGCTGTTGCTGTTAATCAGCATGTCTGCTGGAAGGTGAGAAGACAATAACAAATATTACATGCCTATTATATCATTTAGAAGATATTGGCATCAGCCCAATGCAAGACCTGCACTTAGCACTATGAAGCTGCCATAGTTAACTAATGGGTGGTGTGGAATAGAGATAAATATGAATCAAAGACCTTTTACTTTGTAGGAATTCAGTGTGTCATGATGAGAACTATCATATTTTAAAAAATAATAATTTAACTAAGTAGAAAAAGAGATTCAGCGAACAAGGAAAATCTCACTTGAGCACTCTTTTGGGCAAAAGAAAAAATTTTGCACAGTGAAATTTCAGTTTATTTAGATACACATTAAGGAGAAAAAAATACACAGACTATCTTAAAAAATACTATTTAAAAAATGACTTATTTGTGGAAATTTGGAAATATT